GTTATTCCGCAATATCGACTGGTCAGTCAGTCGACAAAGCAATAGCATCGTTTAGTTTAATCACTCTGTGAATCACTCTTCTTAGAACGTTTTCGAAGACATGCAAATTGCGATCAATTCAATTACGAATGTCGTTTAACCAAATCGCAATTTGAGTTTTGAGTGCAGCGAATGGAGCACTCGTGAGCTCGTAAGAAAAATATAATGCGAAGATCAAGCACTAGTTAATAGTGTAATTCGTAGATCCAGGATTTTCTGGAACGACAGAAAAATCCTAGAAGAGGCGGCTGACAGGTTGAACGCCACGTTTATAGTCTTCTTAAAATAGTACGCTTCAAACTAAAATATCTTCTGCATATTTCCGATTTGTATGGCCATCTCAGAGATCACAGTTTAGATATTAATATTGCGAATATTGATACATATATAATATAATATATATATATTATTTTATATGTTATTATATAATCACTGTATAAATTCATCGAGAAAACATAAATTTCTATAAATTTATATGAATTTTGAGAATATAAGAAACACTAAATAAAAAGAGATGTTAAGATAACTATTAGATTTCTACGCGTAAGCTTGATATTTATAAACGAGTCATAATTCTGGTCATAATAATGGTGTTACGAGGCGTTCAAACTGTCGGCAAAAATATGCGCACACAGAGAAAGTGAACATCGACTTGCCAAAGTCGTGACACACCAAGTAGAACCAGGTAGAACTTTCTTCCCGGCACATTCCATGACGATGCTGTACGATGATGCATGGCGATCGTTCACTCACACACACATAACACACACGCAACACACATACGTACACATAAATAAATAATATAAAGATAATAGTAATACTAATAATATATAAGCGTCTCTACTTACCCCATAGAGATGAGCGCTCCGCGTTAAAAGCGTATATCATCGACAGGACGACGCGAGTTTGAACCAAAAGGCGCAGGACTGGGTACTCTCGAACGAGACTGTAAGATAGAAACCTTAATATCGAAGCTCTTTTCGTATCCTTGTGCGAGAGTCCTCCTGGAATTTTCTTATCCTTCGTTTTCAAGTCGTGATCTTCCATGTTACGGCGCTGATAGGAATACGCAAGACGATGCGAAAATAATCACGCTAGTTCTTCTATTTCCGCATTTCTCTTTTATCAAATCGTTTCGTATGATATATTGTCGCATGCACCATTGCTGTATTATGCGATAAATATCTTCATTTTTTAAGAGAATCTTTTTGTTTTATGCTTGAACGGAATGATTACTTTCGCCACGTCGTGTCAAGAAACCAAAATACGTAGAACGGCTAAACGTGAGAGAGGATTAATATTTTTTAGCGTATTCGTTAGCGTGTAACTCGATGGGGAAGAAGACAAAAGAAAAGATGCATGTGCAACACGATATATTGTTAACTGCGCAGGAACACAGTTGCCAATCGGAGAGTAAACGGGGAGGAAGAAATACGATTGTGATTTATTTTGCATCGATGTTGGCTTCGAACGACGATGACGACGACGACGACGACGACGACGACGATTCTAGATAAGTCGGTACGCATATGTATATCTACATACATGTATTTAAATATGTATGTATATATATATGTATACACAGATAAATATATAATTATATATAAATATATATATTATAGAATATTATAAAAAAAATATCGGTCGCGGTAATTTTATTGCGAAGTTTCATGGCGGTGGTGAGGAAAACAGGCGTTTTTTTCTCCGCTACCTCCGCTATTTCCTTGTGAGTAAGATCTGTAAATTTTCTTGTACGTACTACAAATCTTCTGTAAGTAACGCGAAAATGGGACGGGCGATTCTGTTGAACCAGGTAAATGGACACTCGAAAAGTTTGCTTAGAAGAACGTTGGACGAAGAAATTTTGACACTCTCCGTGATTATTTTTTAAAATTGTCTCAGAAGATAGTAGTCGATTTTAAGTTTGTCAGATAGTTTTTTTCAGAAAATTTTGTAAAGTTTGTGCTTTATACGTGTGTCTTTTTTATTTTATAAAGTTTAATCCGTATCACGTTGTTCGATCGGCTCGAATCGAATAAGCATAATTACATACAAAATGTATTGAGAGGGAAAATAATATGCGAATCATCGGCAACGACGTGTGTACATTTACGTGAGTGCTTTGAACGTGGGAACTATAATTACATATAACAATAATCAACGAGACTCATTGAAACGGAAAGCGAAGTGCCCGACAGTCCGAGCTTAAGTTTAATTTATTTGGAATTGGACGAAGTAGAACAGGCGATTTAAAAATAATAGGAACATCGCGCGCACGATTTCCATAGACTAATCAAATCAACTTTGATTTCTGATTTAGATAAATCTAATATTATTCCTGTACAGCGATCAACTTCCTCGTGAGAGCCAGAAGCATTTCACGAACAAATTGTACTCGTTACATTATTCATTTCACAGTCGCGGAAGTAATTCGATAATGACAGGAGTGGGATGATATCGTTTGGCTTCCTAGATAAATTGTACTTCACGTCAGAGATGCTACTTTTTGTTTGAATAATTCTTATTTTGCGTGCAGGATGCGCCAAATGCTCTATTTCTAAAAAAAAATAGAGCTTTTATTTCTTATGTATTTTTTTTTAAATATTTTTCGATCACAAAATTTGTCAGGACATTATCACTTTCACGAAGATGTTGGCGCATCCGATATACGCGCAAACAGCGCGCAGCGGATTCTGTAATTCCTAATGACGGCGTCATTATTGTTACATTGTTATGTTGCGCAAGTATAATATAATGATAAAAAAAGACAACGTAACGATACTCGTTAAGAGTTACAGAAGCTTCGGTGCAGATCGAAACTAGACATAAGGACACTTAGACGTAAAGGATATTCTTAGCTATCTCGCCAATTTACGACACAGTATTTATCGGAGGTTTTTTTTAAGGAGAAGAGAGGGGAAGAAAGAGGGAAAAGGCGAAACGGAATTCTTTTCTTTTTTTTTTTTTATAATGTAAGCTTCTCGATATCGTGCGAGTTTGTATATGAACGAAATAAATATAGTTGTCATTCGTCTCAACCGCGCTTTCCGCAAGGGGTTTCCCGTAAAAACTAAATTATTGTAAAGCCGTTGTGTACCTAATGTCCACGGGTATTCCAAAGCTTATGTAAAACGAAGTGTATGCTCGTGATACAAATATATATATATATATATATATATATATATTCGAGAAACGGTCGTCGGGATCGTTCGGGATCGGTAATATCTGAGAGAGATGAGGGAAAGAAATCCTATACGATTTGAAGACGGAGAACGGTCTGGGGCTCAAATCGGTCTCCGGGACTCGCGAGAGATCCATCCAGGCTGCAAGAACGTCATTTACCCACACCGTTACAAATATACGATGGTATTATTAATAATAATAAATTTGTAGCAAATCTGTACAAAGCCAAATAAATCAAAAAAATTTCGTAAATCCTCCACTCCAGGTTTTCTCCATTGTCGAAGAAAGTCACTTCCTTTGAATCGGCAGTGATCTCAGTGTAGATCGAAAAGCGTTTTTCAATCGTTTATTGAAACGTACTGCTTTTTTTTTTTTTATTTTGATCCACAGATTAAAGAAATTATCATTATATCTTCTACTTTATTCAGTCCCGATTATCTTTCAAATTATTTTGGCGAGGGCATTCACACCGTGGGCTTATGTAATAAAATTAACATTTTATTTGAAAAATCGAGACATACACAGATGCGAAAACAATGATAGCACATTCTGGTAGCACCGATAAATAGACGCTGAAACGATATCTTTAGACTTTAGAGTGACTATGCGTGGGCTGATTGCTCGTTTGATCAATTGGATCGTTTAATTCTTTTTTTTTTTTCTTTCTTTCTTTTACGGATTAGCTCTCTCTCGTCTTGATTAGTTACAACGCCGAGCAACAGCTTTCTCGCAAATCGGTCGAAAAGATACAGAGTGTCCGTAGAGTTTCTTATCATTGCTAAGTTGTAATTATTCAATTTCTACAGCAGACGTTTCCGATGGGACTAAAATATTTGATGAATTTATGACAACTAATTAAGTATTCGACTATTGAACATTCTTGATTTTTCTTCGAATCAGTAAAAAGTGTATATATAAATAATAAAAAATTTTAATCATGTATTTTCCAAGAAACTTTCCTTTATATAGAAAGAAAATTTTCTTTAATACAAATCTCTCACGAACACGCTGTATTTTTAATATAACAAAATTGAGTGTTTTTTTTTTTTCCAACCGACGTATCCTCACTGATCCTTATATATTTCTAGAGCGGAATGGATATATAAATATATTTATACAAGATGTATCGCAAAGCGTCGAAATCAATACACTTTATTATACAGCCTGTATAATGAAGTCGCAATAATCGTTCGCGTAATAGAGACAGGAAAAGGAACTATATCGAGGATGGTAACGGGCTGATCTTCGGTAAGCCGTCTACTTTCGAATTTTGATCGATTTCTTTTAATCTCCTCTCCCGCTAGCGAATTCGCTCTCTTACCCCCTAATTTTATTCCTTCCTATATGTATATATCCCTTTAATAGCGCTATATACAAACGTAAAATGAGGGATCAACATTGGTCGCAAGCTTGATAATGTAACAGATATTAACGATCGATTGAACGTTGATAATAACTCGATGCTCTCGCTACGCATACAAAAGAATCCGGTTAATCGAAATTAATAATTGCAAGGATCATCGTGATCGGTGTATGCGGAACATATGTAAGTTGTCGTCCTTTAATTCCTCGACAGCGAATAGAATATATTCCTCGTCGATTATAGAAATATCGATGGCATTTTATTATTGGCACTGCGATGCATCCTCTTTTGGTTCCATTTACTTTCCATCGTGTTTCGTCGTCGATAAAAATTGCATTGTCATCGATAAAAATGGATATCGACTTCTACCAACTAGCGTAGGAAGTCTTCGCTTCCGTCCTCCGTTCCTTCGTTAGCGATTTCTCTCCCCCCCCCCCCATTAATTATCTATTAAATTATGATCACCGAAGCATCGTCGATTGCTTGATTAATCGTCACTCGATGACGTCGCGACACTCGCGTAATTTCGGATTGCAACTTTTCCCTTTTCCCTCCGGTACGTTTTTATATTGCTATACGAAGTAATGATGTAAGTCTCTCGTTATCATTGGCACCCATTATCGATCACCCTTCCTCTTTTCCCGCTGGAAAGAGATTCAGCCTTTCGTAATGTCGTTTCTTGTGACGCAACCTCGACCTAAAGCTACGTTTACTATTAATAAAATTGGCGATTCGTTAATCCGCGGAAAAATTTTTCCGCCGTTTTTCACCGAAATTCTACGCGTGGCGCGTTCCCTCGAGATTAGAAGTTTATATTTATCGAAAAAGTGACGATGTTCTGCGACAACGTTCCGAAAGTTTGCTTTTCGCGACTTTTATCACGCTTTTCTCATTTGGCACGATGTCATGAACGTGGACGCCATACTTGTGGCAAAATCTTTGATACCGCATCTCCGAGAGACCTATCGCGTTCATCTTTTTTTTTTTTCCATTTTGTGTGTTAAAGAAGGGGAGGAGTGCGGATTAAAAGAACCTCGTGATTACGTTCGCGCGTATTATTTAAATTAATCCGATTAATAACGACGGGAATTATATTTACATGCCGGTAAGTAAGGCAGGCGTTCCGTGGTTAGTCGTAATTATAATAATGACATTTGCATGAGCAAACTAAAATGTACAATGTAACTCTTGAAATATATATTCCCTTTCGAGGCTCGGCATTGCACGATTTTCATTCTCCGTCTCTGGTAAAGTCGGGCTCCAAGCGAAACTTCCGTAGCGATCGATCGTGAATGTATCCGCTGAGAAAAAATGTTTCTCGCCTCTTTACATATAATATATACGATAAAATATTTAAACAACGCAAAGTTGAACGAAGAGACAACGATGTACTCTAAATCTTACTTTCCGCTCCATCCGCCGAGAATTTCTTGAAATCGTCACTGATCCTTCCAATCCCTTCAAAAGAATCGTTAAAGAAACATGACTATATATAGACTATTTTACTTGGTTTATCAAATCGTTGTGACATGCTAATAAAATATTATTTAATGCGTGAAAATATTTATTTAATTTTCTTCAAATATTCTTTAGAAGTTCTTGATCGTATATATGTTTTGGATTGCAAGGATCGTTAATAATTCTTCAATAAGACTTACACTGGCGAACGATTATAATAAATCTCTCATACAGCAACGACCAAATCGAGGATGTCCGAAATGGATCCGACGGAGGATTGCCTTCATACGATCGCGATACTTAGGGTATCGAAAAAGAGGATGGATACGAACAGAGTAATACTTGTCGTTTTCCGTGCGTTCGATTTCTTTTTTCTCTAGAAGGAAAGATAGAAAAAGTCTTTGTTTACGTATGCATGTCTTGCGTGTGTGAAATCATACGAGCACAATCTGTAAGCTCAAATGTGTGTTGAGCCTTCTAGATCCATCTGGACTTCGGCATTTTTCATCTAGATACTCCTCTACTCTAAATATTCTCTCACACGGACAATATAAACATTCAAAAGATATCCGACGAAATTAGGATACCTTTTAAACTTTTACATTATCGAAATCTGACTCCACTGACTGATGAAGCCGTCTTCAATCTGAAGGCATCCGTCAGTAGCCATCTTCGATCTTTTTCTCTAGAACTTTAGGAAAATTCTGAGCAAATCCCTCCCGCGATCCCCTGCGATAATCTTGATCATTTCTTCAAATGTGCGACCTTCGCTCTTGCTCCGCTCTTGCACCGGCCGCCGACTACGTCGGTAGTCCTCATCTTGAAGAGCTCCGTCTAGACGAAGACGTCGCTGACCGTCTCTCGCCCGTGAGTGAACCTGAGGAAAATCCTGAGCGACGTGTCTCGAGCTGTCTCCCGATTTCTTGAATCTCGTTCTACCCGAACACGGCTCTCACTCTTGCTCCACGCTGATGTCCACTGTCCTCACCCTGGACGAGTCCGTGGGCAACAGTTGAAGACGCTCAGGCTCCGCGTCCAGCATGATGATACACATGAAACTCTTACCGGACGCCTGATCTCTGGGATAGATGGTCACCGGCGCGAACTTGTCCACCGAGCCGTCCACGTAAGAACAAAGCTTCCGGTATACCTGGGGAAAGTGTCTCCTCAAGGAGACTCCCCTGAGCCTGAGCTGCCGTTGTATATTGGTGAAGCTGATCTCTCGCGCTTTCCGTGGCGTGTTCTGACCGTTGTTGCCGGGTAGCGACGTCAAGACTAGGGTCTCGGGCGAGTCCATCTCTCTAGTGATGTTACAGGGGGACGCAGGTGCTTGCTGCGACAGCCGCCGCCTGGCCTGCGGAGACGCCGAGGAGGAGGAGGCGTGCTGCTTAGCCGCCCCGTCGAGCCTGATCTTCGCACACCTGGACACCAATTGCCGCTCCCACCTGACCGCGCCGCTAGTCGGCACTTCGCTGACCACGCACACCGCCACGTAGAGCACCAGCCGCGTTTCCGGATTGTACGTCTTACAGAGGCGCATCAGTTCGGCGTAGAGCTCGGCGCCCATCTCGCCCGGGAGTAAGTCCGACCAGCGCACGTAGGTGGGCTCGCCGAGGTCGGCGAAGCCGTTGCCGACGAAACGCTCGGCCGCCTCGGGGCTCGAGAAGAAGCACTTGACCGCGCCGCGGCCGTGACCGGCGTAGCCCCGTCTGGCGAGGGCGGAGATGTGCTTCAGGGTGGCCGGGTCCTCCTTCGCCGAGGAAAGTACCTGGCGGCAGAGGCTGCCGGCTCGCGAATGAAGGCAGGTCCTGCGATGGCGTTGCCAGTGGGCTCTTCGACACTCGCGCGAGCAGTACAGGCAGGTGCAGTTGTGGCAGCTCTTGTAGGTCCTCCTCGCCTCTGCCAGGGTGGTCGAGTTACCGCACTTGTTGTTACGGCACCGCACTACCTTGTCCATGGCGGCCGAGCTGCCGTTGGTAGTGGAGTCCTGGGCATTGTCGAAAGACACCCTGCGGTGACGCGGCTGGACGCCACCGCCGCGCGGCATCAACGACGAGGAGGACGTAGCTGCGGCGGCGGCGGCGGCGGCGGCGGCGACAACCGCAGCTCGCGAGGGCAGAGTGTCGCTGCCTTCGCTCTTCCGTCTCACCAGCTCGCCCGAGTAGAAGTTGCGCTGATCGTCGACGGTTGCCTGATGAACGTCCATCACGCTCTTAGCTGACTCTGCGACAGGTCAGATCGATTGCCTTTATCAATACAAGTCACGACAGGCTGGAGGGATAGGAGAGACGATGAGAGAGGTTGGAGAACGATCGTGATTGAACTGAAGGGCTCGTCTCGCAATTATCGTGTTAGATTTAATAGTGAGCAAAGATGCGTATTTTCAAGCGGATTATTTTATTCTTGCCAGATTTCTGCAGCGCTCTTTGCAATACCTAATTTTCATATTTTCAAAGTGTGAATCTTAACACGGTTTGAAAGCGAGCTCTTCTTCTCGAGTCAGTCTACCAAATGGCATTAAATGGAAAATGATGACGTTTATTACGTTGCGACATGATGAATGGCACTAAATGATTTTGTGTAGTAATGTCGAACGAGAGAGAATTCGTTCTCACTTTCCTCCGTCATCGTCACCGAGAGCCAGCGCGAGAAACGCGTTAAGCACAATGACATGATGATTGTAAGCAAGTATGAGCGTGAATGACAGTGATCGGCGTGATGTATCTTTTAATGACGCACTCGTACGTATAATAATTCACCTCCCCTCAACAGTCTAACTTTCCTTGCCGTTCAATCGCATTTTCCTTGTGTCAGTGATGGCTTCGCAAACTCAGTACTTGAAGCAATTATCTAACTAAGAAAACTAAAGCATTAAAGCAAATAACAACTAGACTGAAATCATTTTCAAAGTACAAGACAGCTAACTAAAAGGAACGTATCATGAAAATATATCGAGTTCTATAAAGAAAAAAAAAATGTCAAAACTTTTTCTAAAAGTACGTAAATTACTGGTAACAAACATATTTAAGGTTTTTTTTAATTAATTGCCATTGAAATTAGTTCTTCCTTTCGAAAGATTTTTTTCGTTATAATGTCGCGATATAAACTTTCCATTATCGTAGTGAGAGATTTAACTTTAAGAAAGAGAGAAATCTAATTTTTAATTTCGTAAATAGAAACATTTCATTCAACCGTTTTAATCTGAAAATTTCTCTTAGAAATTCTTGCGGAAAATTCTCTTTTTATTTCTTGCAGGTATGCGTATATTACTCCTCTGAAAATATTAATAGAAATTCTTTTCAAGTTTTTTTTTTTACTTCCATACGCCATGTATTCGATGAATATAAGTCACAATTATAAAAAAAAAAAAAGAAAAGACTTGTTTATATAATAAGAGCGAGTGGGCGCATTGCTACAAGTTCGCGCAAAAACGAATCCAATCTGTGTATCCAACCTATCCCACGTGCCATCAAGCTTGATCGTGCACAGAACCATAGAAGATCTGTTCTTTTTAGTCGCACTTTCCTACGTTTCCCGCATTAAAAATAAATGTAGTATACAATCAAGTCTAATGAAGCAAAATCAATTGTCGATCCTCCCATTAAATATAGCACTTTTTAGAAAGTTAAATTTCAAATGTTAACGCAATTTTTAATCGTGTTAATAAAGTCTTTTAAAATTCGATAGCGCGTCGAAAATAAAATTTCGCGAAACAAACACGTATCAAAATTGAGACAGATCGCTGGAAAATATAGGAAGCGCTGCTAAAAGGGGGACAGATCTTTAAAGACAAAGAAAGATATGTGAGAAAAGA